GCACTCTGTTTCGCTCTGCTCTCCATGTTCTATCGCTCGGGCGGTAGTACCGCTCCCCTGAGCAGTAGTACCGCTCGTGCGCGAACTGAGCACATAACGGTTGGATTCGGGAGCTCCTATAAAAGGGGGTCTTCTTCCCCATTCAACCTTATCCTTTGAGCTCGTGTTCTTTCCCCATTGTTGACCTTCTTCGAGCTTGCTAACTCTCAATCCCTCCATGGATTCTTGCTAGTTTTTGAGGGAAAAGAGAGAGGAGATCTAGATCCACATTTCCACCAATCACTTTCTCCTCTATGTGAGGGGAACCCATTGGATCTAGATCTTGGAGTTCTTCGTGTTCTCTTCTTCGTTCTTCCTCTCATTTTCCTCCCTAGCATTTGTTGCTTCGGTGGGATTTGGGAGAGAAGGACTTGGGCACTCCGTGTGCCCTTGCCATTGCATTTGGTGCATCGGTTTGAGTTCTCCATGGTGATACGTGGAAGTTAAAAGTTGAGAAGCTTATTACTCTTGGGTGCTTGGTACCCTTGAGCTTGTTCCTCTTGGGTGCTTGTGTGCCCTAGACGGTTGAGGTCACCTCGGAGCCATATTCCATTGTGGTGAACTTCGTGGTGTCGTTGGGGAGTTAACCCCAACCTTTGTGGTGTTCGGAGCTCAATCATTGTGGTGTAAAGCTCCGGGCAAGCGTCGGGGTCTCCAATTAGGTTGTGGAGATCGCCCCGAGCAATTTGACGGGTTCCGGTGACCGCCCCCAAGGGTTGCCAAAGTGTACGGGTTCGGTAACCGCTCCCAATGGTTGCCATTTGTACGGGTTCCGTGACCGCCCTCAAGGGTCCCTTAGTGGAATCACAACATCTTGCATTGTGCGAGGGCGTGAGGAGATTACGGTGGCCCTAGTGGCTTTCTTGGGGAGCATTGTGCCTTCACACCGCTTCAAACGGATATTAGCATTCGCAAGGGTGTGAACTTCGGGATACATCGTCGTCTCCGCGTGCCTCGGTTATCTCTTACCCGAGCCCCTTTACTTATGCACTTTACTTTGTGATAGCCATATTGTTTCTTGTCATATATCTTGCTATCACATAGTTGGTTATCTTTCTTAGCTTAAGTTGTTGGTGCACATAGGTGAGCCTAGTTGTTTTAGGTTTTGTGCTTGACAAATTAACCGCTAGGTTTATTCCACATTTGTTCAAGCCTAAACTGTAATTATTTTAAAATGCCTATTCACCCCCCTCTAGGCGACATCCACGATCTTTCACCAGTGCATCGGGTCCAATGAAAATATTTTGTGACAACATTAGAGAAATTGCCTTGGCGAAGAAATCCAGGTTTCACAAAAGAACCGAACACATTGAGAGACACTTCAACTCCATCCGTGAAAAGGTTAAGGAAGGAGACATAGAGATTTGCAAAATACATACGAATCTGAATATAGTAGACCCGTTGACTAAGCCTCTTCCGCGAGCAAAACATGATCAACACCAAGACTCCATGGGTGTTAGATTAATTACAATGTAATCTAGATTGTTGACTCTAGTGCAAGTGGGAGACTGAAGGAAATATGCCCTAGAGGCAATAATAAAGTTGTTATTTTATATTTCCTTATTCATGATAAAGGTTTATTATTCATACTAGAATTGTATTGATTGGAAACTTAAATACATGTGTGTGAATACATAAACAAATACCATGTCCCTAGTAAGCCTCTACTAGACTAGCTCGTTGATCAAAGATTGTTAAGGTTTCCTAACCATAGACATGTGTTGTCATTTGATAACGGGATCACATCATTAAGAGAATGATGTGATGGACAAGACCCATCTGTTAGCTTAGCATATGATCGTTCAGTTTATTTCTACTACTTTCTTAAATGCCAAATACATGTTCCTTCGACCATGAGATCATGCAACTCCCGGATACTGAGGTATACCTTGTGTGCTATCAAATGTCACAACGTAATCGGGTGATCATAAAGATGCTCTACATGTATCTCCGAAGGTGTTTGTTGAGTTGGCATGGATCGAGATTGGGATTTGTCGCTCCGAGTATCGGAGAGGTATCTTTGGGCCCTCTCGGTAATACACATCATAATAAGCCTTACAAGGAAATGACTAATGAGTTAGTTATGAGATGATGTATTACGGAACGAGTAAAGAGACTAGCCGGTAACGAGATTGAACTAGATATCAAGATACCGACGATCGAATCTCGGGCAAGTAACATACCGATGGACAAAGGGAATTACGTATGTTGTCATAAGGTTCGACCGATAGAGATCTTCATAGAATATGTAGGAGCCAATATGGGCATCCAGGTTCCGCTATTGGTTATTGACCGGAGAGGTGTCTCGGTCATGTCTAAATAATTCTCGAACCTGTAGGGTCCGCACGCTTAACGTTCGTTGACGATATAGTGTTATATGAGTTATATGATTTGGTGACCGAATGTTGTTCGGAGTCTCGGATGAGATCATGGACATGACGAGGAGGCCCAGAATGGTTCGGAGGTAAATATTGATATATAGGACGATACTATTCGGACACCGAAAGAGTTTCAGGAGGTACTGGGTTCTCATCGGATCACCAGAAGGGGTTCCGGGAAGCCCCGGGAGGAAGGTGGGCCTATTGGGCCATTAGAGGGGAGCACACCAGCCCACAAGGGGCTGGCGCACCCCCTATGGCAGCCGGCCTATGGGGGAAAGGAAGGAGGGAGATTCGGCCTCCCCCTTCCTTCCCTCTCCGCCCCTTTTCTTTTCCCCTCCGGCAAATATGGTAAGGGGGGCGCGGCTAGGGAAGGAACCCTAGGAGGATTCGGCCTCCTTGGGGCGCCTCCTTCGCTGCTCCCTCCTCCCCCATCTATATATATGTGGGAGGGGAGCGCCACACATAAACACGACAATCTCTTAGCCGTGTGCGGCGCCCCCTCCACAGTTTCGTCCCTCAGCCATTTTTTTTCGTAGTGCTTAGACCAAGCCCTGCGGAGATAGCATAACCACCACCGTCACCACGTCGTCGTGCTGCCGGAACTCATCCACTACTTCGCCGTCTTGCTGGATCAAGAATGTGAGGACTTCACCGAGCTGAACGCGTGGTGAACGCGGAGGTGTCGTACATTCGATACTCAATCGGTTGGATCACGAAGAAGTTCGACTACATCAACCGCGTTAACAAACGCTTTCGCTTACGGTCTACGAGGGTACGTAGACACATTCTCCCCTCTCGTTGCTATGCATCTCCATGGATAGACCTTGCATGTGCGTAGAACTTTTTTTGTTTTCCATGCAACATTTCCCAACAAGAAAGGATTGACTCGAGGCTCACCGATCTGAACTAAGCTCCTATGGATGAGGCGAACAAACTGATACGTAAAGTTCATATCGAACGGAACTCTGATGAACGCGCTAAGGTGATGCTGGAGTTGATAGCATTCATTTACATCCGGAGATGACACATATCGTGGTATACGCGGCAAATGACAACACTAGAATCAAGGACAATGCCTTTGATGGTGACGACATCTAGATGAGTAGATGGTTGTGAGCAATCAGAATATTTTTAGTTAGTGCGACCTAAAATTGAGGTGGTCGATGTAGATAGAAAGGCAAAACTCGTACTCCACGATACATGGTTCAAGCTCTTCTTCATCTGAGTGAATTTCCCTCATCGATGCGGTCCTAGCGGTGTGAGGGTTCGGCTAGGGGAACCTACGATGTGTCGGGGATGTTTCTTTGATGTTGCAAAGGACATGAGCTTTTCTGTTGCTGTTGGCAGTGACACAAGCTTTTTCTTGCTTAGTTTGGAGTTATGATGTGAGATTTCTTAGAAAGAATATAATATTTGATAAAAAAAAATCAAGTCTTGAACCGACAACACTGTGTTAATATGTGATTTATATGACACGAAATTGATACCACTATATTCGTTTTTTAAATTACTTACTTGTAATTATAATTTTGTATCAAATCCTTGTCTTAACGAAACCTAATACAGCCTATATACGAGAACGGAGTAATACTTATATTATATCAGAACTTGATTATTGGATCGTAAATTTATCTTAGAAAGACTTTCATAATAATATATTTTGTTCATTTTATTATCTATGGTTAGTATAAAAATCATGATCAAAGCTGCGTTTGTACGATGCAACATTGTCAAGTACTTTTATGGAACTTTGTTATTATTCGATTGAACATTGTTGTATGAAATATTTTATATTCATTTAATCCTTTCAAATTTTATTTTTCTTTTCTTTTGAGATGTTTAAGCTTTCTTTAATTCAGAGATTTTTTTTGTTCCTTTTGAGTATTTATGGCACTGAAATCCACATGATCTTTTTTCCAAAAAGAAAATCTTTGCTCTTGATGTATTACAATCTCTTGAAGTATTTTTCTTATGGTATGATTAAAAATTCTTCGATCAAATGTTATAATTTCAAAACGGTATATTTTTCAGAGATCTGCAAGTGAGCAAATCAAATTATCAAAAGATCCAAAAGGGCAGAAAACCAGCAGAGGAGGAAAAAAAAACCAGTGACATGAGCAGTATATAAATACAGAGAAACACCCGCCCTGCTTTCGTGTCTCCCTTCTCTCGCCCCTCACACCTTTCTTCCCCACCGCTACTCCTGCCGGAATCCGTGATCCCGGCGCGAGCATCTCACGCCCACTTCCCATCATCTCCCAGGATCCAGCCTCCGCACGCTCGCCGGAGCCGCCAAGCTACAACCAAGCACGCGGTGCCCGATTCGCCGAGTGCGGCGGTGGCCAGGCCCAGATCTGCGAGATCGCCACCGACCACGCTCCGCCTCCTCCGAGGTACAGTGGACACGCCTTATCCTTCAGATCCGCTCTTCTATCCAGTCATATCCGATGCGCCACTGCTGATTGGCTGAAACGGTGCGACTGCTCTAGTAATGCTTCTGGGATCCCTCGGGCTCGGACGCCGGTAGTGCTGAGCGGCATCTAGTCGGCGGCGTGCTCCCGTGGCGGCGACTTGGGCGAGATGCAGCGAAACGGGGTGATGGAATGCACAGCGTGCCGCTCCCGGCTGGTGGCGCCGAGCCCGCGGAGCGTGTCCAGGGCGTACGACAAGCACCACAACAAGATAACGTCCAAGTTCCGTGCGCTCAAATTCCTCCTCGTCGTCGGCGACTGCATGCTCGTCGGCCTCCAGGTGTGTTTCTACCTCTCTGTAACGATAATCGAACTACTACGTTCTCATCAGCTCAATCCATCACGTGGTGCAAATACTTGTGAAATGGTATTTTGGCATGATCTGCGTCGAACAATTGTGAGGCAATGTCTGCATGCTTCAGTTAGTTGGTCCCTTCTTTAACGTTACATGCATCTATCTGGTAACAAGCACTCTCTCGTGTCAAAATATGAGGCTTATTTCACTAACAATTACTTTGTTAATATGTGGTTTATGTGACATAAAATTGATGCCATTAGATTCGTATTGAAAAAGTACTTGCGATTTGTACCGCATAAACCATGTATCAATAGTAATTGTTGGTCAAAGCATTACCTTAATGAATGAAAATACACCTTATTTTTTGGGATAGAGGGACTAGTAAGTTACTTTCTTACGATTAGCTTTCCATTAGAGATAATGGAAGTAAGTATATTTTCTTGCGAAAGATAATCCAAGTTAGAGAGCTGTGTTCATGATTAGGTTCCGTACTTTAATAATTTACTGTTGTCTGCAGCCCATCCTAGTGTTCATGTCAAAAGTAGATGGGAAGTTCCAGTTCAGCCCCATCAGTGTTAACTTTTTGACGGAGGTTGCAAAAGTTATCTTTGCTATCGTGATGCTAATTATTCAGGTTTGTTCTTGGCTTCTTGCTCCAATGTGTTTCTATTGTGCATGTACGCCGATGATGTCACATGATGTTATACATGAAACACCATTTTTTACACGCATATCTTGTCTGGATGGTTCTGATTTTTTTTGTGCTTGTTAGGCTCTTGCCTGTTTTTGGCATATCTTGCATAACACATGTAGTTATTCCTGTAACAAAAGTTCTTTACTCACCTATCACCATAGGCAAACTTTGTCACAGCAGACTGTTTGGAAATTTGTGTACCATTCTATTTTCCATGGTGCATAATAGCTGCAAGCGACATATTTAATTTGTTGATGGCTTCTCTATAGCTTAGGCTCCTCACTTCTTATTCGCCTCTTTAACGTTGTTGTACTAATCTGACAGTCTCGAAAGCAAAAGGTTGGGGAAAAACCACTTCTGGCACGTTCAACCCTTATACAGGTGATGTATCTGGCCACATGATGATACAGTTTACGCCCCTTTTGTTGCTTGTGTTCATATCATTGCGTGTATGTTTTCATTTTCAACATTGAATCAGTGCTTGGTATTTTTGTTCTATATAGTTTCATGTTGTTTTATATCTTATTACTTTCCCCCCCAATATTACGTTTCTACTCCCCCTATACCCATACTTAAAAATACTTTATTTCACTTTTTTATCACATTGTTTTGTTATCTGATAATTCAATCATTTCTTTTTGTAGGCAGCCCGCAATAATGTACTCCTAGCTGTCCCTGCACTTCTATATGCCATCAACAATTACCTTAAATTTATCATGCAGGTAAGTTTCATTGGATTTAGAGGCAGAGTCTTGCAGTTGTCATGAGTAAACATTTTTTGCCTTGTGAGATTGACGTACAGCTATACCTGACACATATTGAGCGTATTGTGCAGTTGTATTTCAATCCTTCAACTGTGAAAATGCTAAGCAACCTAAAGGTACACTTTTCTTGTCCTACTCAGATGTCATTGTTTAGTTGTATTAGTGTGTATGCATATATAACACCATTTGTGATCCAAACTTCTCTAGGTACTGGTCATAGCTGTTCTTCTGAAATTTATAATGAGAAGGAGGTTCTCTGTTATTCAGGTAAGGTTGACGTTTAAATTCTGTTGCAGTTATTTCTACAGTTTAGTTTTATTTGAGGATTGAGTTTACCAAAGTGTTTTATGCTTTTAGATTATTTGTTTATCTACTAGTACTACTATCATGTAACTTAAGAATTACTGGATTAGGCTCTACCTGCCTCATTTTACATGATCTATTGCCCAATCATATTAGGAATATTAAGAAGCATTGATCAGTGCATTCTGAACTTACTAGAAATTGTTAGAACTACTAGTAGTATCATAGTTAATAAGGCATCACCAAAGTGTCGTTTAGGCGTTGAGGCAGTCTTGGGTGGTGACCATAGCCGTTTTGTGGCGTCCAAGGCATCGAGAAGGCATGGTATAGTGTTGCCTGAGGCGAGGCAGGTGATGAGGTTGCTTGTAGTGGGAGGATGGAAATAGAGAGCAGGTAAATCATTGAAGAGGGAAGTGAGATACATACATACAGTAGCTAAGATAAAAAAGAGACCTGCAACCTTGGGTTGAGGGAAGCAGTTCTGATGCTGAAGCCACCTATCTGTTGTCTCCACTGGCTTGCTGCACCGAGCCCTTGCTGCTGTCACCACATCTTGGCTCGTTACTTCTGCTCTGGCTGCAGATTGCCACTGCCGCTGATGTCACTGCATGTCGTAGTTGTCATTGTCTCCGACGGTCTGATTATTGAGTTACAAGGTTGATGAGGAACAATAGAGAGAAGGCGAAGAAAAAAACATAAGTCAAATCTGTTTGATTATTTCTAGATACTTCTACCCTATTCTAGTATTTGTTTCTTTTCTTAACCCTAACTACTGTTTTCTAGAGTCTTCTAGCCATGAGTAGAATGTTGAATCTTAAGCAATGTTTTCTAGAGTGTTCTAGCTATAAGTAGAAGTTGAGATGGCTTCCCAAAGCCCTGTAAATTAGGTTTTCACCTCTAGTTTGTAACCAGACTTATGTACCCCACTACCTATAATAGAACCTGGTGTTCTATCTAAGATCTTGGACTAGATCTTGTGCCCTATGAGTTTGTATCGAACTCCTGCTGCCATATTGGCCTATATTTGCCTCTAGAGTGATATCTAGGGCAGCACGTTGAAGTAGTTCCTTCAACACTAGTGCTGTACACTTTGTAGCAGCAAGGTGGAGTTGTTCCTCCACATCCTTGTGCTGCTTCAGAGGTTGAACTTCAGGCACCATGGCTGGTATCCCCTCCTTTCAGCTGCCACCATGGCTGGTATCCCCTCCTTTCACCTGCTTCCCTTGTTCTTGCAGCTGCATTTTGCAGCTGGCTCTTCAGGGCACACAGAGCAGGGTTGAGGTGGATCACGCTATTGGGCTATGATTGCCATTTCAACCTTGACTTTTTCATCCGGGACACCATTTTATCATCTAATTGTTTCCGTACAAGATTGGAATGTCATGCCTTCTGTGCCTAGTAGGTGCTATAATGACCAGTCAAAGCTATTTACAAGAAAGGATTTTTCATCCCAAATTCCTTTGACAAAGTTAGCAGTGGAAAGCTCTGCTAACCGTTTCAGCTTCAGCCTCCTTTGGCAGTTGTGCATATCCCAAATAAATTAGCAGAATATTGGCTAGGTACAGGCTGTGCCTTGCCATGTTCCCTCAGCCTAGCACGATAGCCATGGTTATGTGGTTGATTTATTGGCTACAGCCATGCATTTCTTACAAATGGTTGGGAAATGAGGAGCGATAGTGGATTTTCCGTATATCTAAGCATATCTGAGCATAATGACCAAGGACAAAAGGTGCATGGAAAGTGCCATAAAAGTTCCGACTCTCAGCAATGTTAACTTCTCCCTTGCTTCTTGTTTCAAATGTTGGCAGTGGGAAGCTCTTGCTCTATTACTTATTGGGATCAGCATCAATCAACTTCGAACTGCACCTGCGGGCGATACAGCATTTGGTCTTCCTATCACTGCTATCGCATACATCTATACACTGATTTTTGTAAGTTGCTGTCAGGGCCATCTGGTTCTTTAGTTTTTTCCTTTGTTCTTTCACTTGTTTTTATAAGCTGTCGCAACAGGCAGCGAGCTTAAAGTTGCTGTATATTCAGTTGAAACTGTGAATTGTAGGTAACTGTTCCATCACTAGCTTCTGTCTACAACGAGTATGCAATGAAAAGTCAAGATACTAGTATTTATCTTCAGGTACTTTCTTAATTTGACTATAATCTGTTCAGAATTATTAGGGAGTAACTGCCATTTTTTTAATTCTATCGAACTATATGCTTATTTTATGGTATTTCTCTTTTACTTTTCCAAATTCCTGTCGTAAGGCATGGGCTCATTCTTGTCTCCATCTCTGTGATTGTTTTGCCCTTTATCTAATTGGATGTTCTTTTGATATACTTCACAGAATTTATTTCTGTATGGATATGGTGCAATATTCAACTTCCTCGGCATCCTTGGGACGGCCTTATTCCAAGGTATGCACCTTTGTTGAATGCCCAGTATTTTTATGCTAGGTGAATAGTAAGTACTGCATGTTATACGGGCAGGGAGTTTGTATTATATTATCATCCTTAGTGCTTTCTTAGTTGTGCAATCAAGGGATGGGAGTCGGGTATTACTTATTCTTATGAGCTGTTAAAACGAAGGAGTGATTTCCTGGTTGGTTCAGAATTTGAAATATGATTATTTTTTACTAAACCTTGAGGCCAGATATGAGCATTTCTCTTTAATTGTTTATCAATGACCACTGTCAGATCCCAGAGCAAAAAGGATAGCCATGTTCTTTCTTGTCCTGTCATGTCCAAAGCATCTGTTCATGAAATGTCGTAATGCTACTTAAGTGTTGGTGCAGCACATGTTTCTGGTGTAATCATGTCTTCTTACAGGGCCCGAGAATTTTAATATCCTTCAAGGGCATTCAAGGGCTACGATGTTTCTCATATGTAACAATGCTGCGCAAGGCATTCTTTCTTCATTCTTCTTCAAGTATGCAGGTAAATGTTCTACCTTCCAGTTTTTCTTTTGTACATTGTGTTTGTTCTTATCTATTTCTTCTATAATTTCTCCTCATTAAATGATCAATTGAAATTATCCTGCAGATACAATTTTGAAGAAGTATTCCTCAACTGTTGCCACAATTTTTACTGGTCTAGCTTCTGCTGCTTTTCTGGGACATACCTTGACTATTAACTTTCTCCTGGGCATATCAGTGGTGTTTATTTCAATGCATCAGGTATCCTTACCCATTTCTTAACTTAATTTTATTTAGCCAACCTTCTTCCTCTTCCATTTGTGTAACTTCTATTTGTTCTCAGTTCTTCTCACCTATAGCTAAAGTCAAAGGCGACAAACCAGGTGAATTATTGGAGTTGCAAGATACACAGAATCATCGGTAAGTTTCTATCCTTTCAAATGGTTCGAGTATGAATTTTGATCAGTTTGTCTGACTTGTTTTATACTGAATTCTTGATTCCTTGATAACTTTGATACACACACATGAATAATTACTTATGCTGTTATGATCATAAACTGATTTCCAAGTTTTTTTTTGACTCGTATGATGCCTATTACATCACAGGTCATCTGATTCTTCTTTTGTAAATATGACTGCTGGTGCTGCTGAGGACGTAAGCTACTTTTCTTGCTTCAAGAATAATAGAAACATCATTTACATTGCGGACACTCACATTTTAAGTTGCTCATGTCATTTCAGGCTAGCCATCAGCTTGGAACTGATGAGAGGCAACAACTGTTGCCAATTTGAAATGTATATTTTGTAGGTATGAATGGCTTACCTTATCCAGAATTTCTATAAGAATGTTTGCTCATGTTACATGCCTTGCTTTCTCTAGTAAGTAGAACAAGAATACATTTAACATATCTTTTCTGTCCATATGCGTACGCTCATGATATTTGAATTATGAACCAAATTCTAAATAAATAAGCATACGTCTCTGCGCCTACAAACTTGTGGGTATGTATCTATAATAGCTGTATTATTTGAGGAAAATATGTGCAGACATGTGTGTGATAAAAGAAATAGTGGTATCAAACAGGAGTTGCATGATCCAAACAGAAATTCTCATTGTTTCGGAGAATAAGTTTCAAGATTAAAACGATATGTGTAGTTGTACATATAGGCCACACTTGGTTTGATGTGGGCCCCACAATTATATTTTCATTTCGAACGAAGGAAATCGTAGAAGTAACTTGAGCCTGCATAGGTTCTATCTGTAACTCACCAATCCGGAATTAAGTTTGTTAAGAAGCCACGTTGCTAAGAATACTAACTAGCTCACTGCCTTTGAACTCCTTGTATTTCTGCAGGTAGGATAGAAGACACTTTTTCCAGGTGGTTCCAACAGTTGGGGGACAGCAGATTTTGTGTGGTGCTGCGAGTGAAATAAACTACTGTACACTGTAAAGGCAAAGACAGAAGTTACAAATGTGTTCCCTTTTCCATTTCATTCTTTTGGAGGGGGTGCGTCCGTGCGTGGCCAGGTGGCGCATGATAACTTGGATAGTAAGGATATATTATCTCCACAGGAAGTCCCCAATACGATACACATAGAAATTCATTTTTCCCTGGAGCATGTTGCGTACAGTCAAAATGAGGTATTCTTTTGTACGGAATTTTTGAGCTACCGATCATTATAACAATTCGTTAATACTTGGTTCTTCTGGTGCTTATATGGTGACCGTCTGAATCCTTTTTTTTTTTTGGTGTTGTAAGAGGTTGAAGTCGATCTTCATAAAATAGCACTGTTTCATGTTTGAACCTAAGAACCGTTGTTACTCAGTAGGACAGGAAGTCAGAATTACTCCCTCCGATCCATCTTAATTGTTGCTGATTTAATACAAAATATTAGTTGTAGCTGTTTTACAAGTGGTTCTCAATCTAGGACTTATCTTCTTTCAGATTATGAACCCAACCTTGAAAATGAGGTGCAGTTTGTTTGAAGATTTTTTTCATTTTTAATAGACCAAATGCTCCAGCAGCCCATTAAGATGATATCCAATGCAATTTCTCTAGGAAACACAACCATAGATAAGCAGATTTCATCATGGCATTAGGGTGGATCGGCCGATCTTTCACGAAAGGAGTGGGTCCTGTAAAGAACACGAGGAGAAACACGAGAGAAACACTAAACCAACACAAGAAAGTCACACATGTGCTAGATCCTCGAATACATGGAACGGTATACGATCAACTAGGGACGATACAATGGTAACGGTCTTCTTTGTGAGGAGGTCTTGAGTTCTTCCCTAAAAGGGGTCTTGAATCCGCTTGGGAGATCTCTGGTGGAGGCTCGAATCTCCATGGAGAAGGTAACCAAGTGGATGAGCAAAGCTCTCACATAAACATGAGCTAAACCTTTGCTAACCCTAGAAAGTTGGGCGAGGTGGAGTATATATAGTCTAGGGGGGAGAAGGGATACACGGGCCTCGGCCCTTCACTGTGCGCAGACAGGGAAGGCCGGATGTCCGGGCTGGTCGGGTCGGATGTCCGGGCTTTCAGGCGGCGCCGGATGTCCGGGCTGGAGTGGTGGCATTTGTTGCTCTCGGGTTCGGAGGGCCCAAATTTCCGGGCTGGCGGCCGGATGTCCGGGGGCTCGGGAGAGGCCGGATGTCCGGGCTGTCGCGGCCGGATGTCCGGAGCCTGTAGCTTCTGGCGGCTGTGCTGCTGTAGTGGACGACGCTCCAGGGGCCGAATGTCCGGGGTCATGGCCGGATATCCGGGGCCTGGGAGATGTTCTTGGTTCCTTCCGTTGGTTCTCCTCATCCGTGGATTTGGGGACTTGTACATCTTCATGCACATCTTCGGGAGGGCCCTCTTGGTGCCTAATCATGCACAACACCTCGGACTTAGGTAGTAGCCATGTCTCATGCATAGAAAATGGAAGTTCGGAGAGGAGTGAGTTCACCTTATCTTCGATAGCCTTGGCTCGGGCTCGTGTCATTGGTCCAAGTGGTGTCGTAGGAGGTGTAGGTGCATCCATGGGGATGATTTTGGGATGCTCCGCATCATCTCCCCTCCCTTGGGGAAGATTCGTCCTCGGATCGAAATCCTCATCACCATGGTAGGGCGAGTGATCTTTGATTTTGAAGATGTCGCTCACGGAGTACTTACCACGAGGGATGTCGATCTTATATGCGTTGTTGTTATAGCGTGCAAGCACCTTGAATGGTCCATCCGCGCATGGTCGAAGTTTGGACTTGCGTTCTTGGGGAAAGTGGTCCTTGCGAAGGTGTAGCCACATGAGGTCTCCAATGTTGAATATCATAGGGTGCTTGTTGACGTTGAGCTTGGTCACAAGGCGTTGTACTTGGCGCTCGATGGTGTTTCTTGTATCTTCATGCACCTTCTTGAGATGGGTCGCTCGTGTACTTGCGTCCAAATTGATGCGCTCTTGGAGTGGTAGAGGGAGAATATCCAATGGTGAAAAAGGGTTGAATCCGTAGACGACCTCGAAGGAGGACTTGCCGGTTGTTGAGTGTCTTGCGCGGTTGTAGGCGAACTCGGCGATAGGTAGGCACTCCTTCCACTCGGCGATAGGTAGGCACTCCTCTCACTCTTTGATGTTCTTCTTGATGAGTACTTGAAGTAGAGTGGAGAGTGTGTGGTTGGTAAGTTCCGTTTGGCCGTCGGTTTGAGGATGGTAAGCCGTGGAGAAGAGTAGCTTGATTCCGAGCTTGGCGCATATGGTCTTCCAAAAGTAGCTAAGGAACTTGACGTCGCGGTCTGAGACGATAGTCTTTGTCACTCCATGTAGACGCAATATTTCCCTACAAAAGAGATTAGCAACATATGAAGCATCATCTATCTTGTTGCAAGGAATAAAATGTGCCATTTTTGAGAAACGGTCCATAACGACAAATATTGAATCTTTCCCATTTCGAGTCCTAGGCAAACCAAGTACAAAGTCCATGCTAATGTCTTCCCATAGTTGGTATGAAATTGGTAGAGGCATATAGAGGCCATGAGATTGAGCTTTGGACTTAGCTTTGCGACATGTAGAGCATCGGTTGGTGAAACGATTGACGTCTCGAAACATCTTGGGCCAAAAGTAGTTCTTCGAGAGCGTGGCGAACGTCTTGTCGCATCCGAAATATCCCATTAAGCCTCCTCCATGAGATTCCTGCAAAAGCAACAAACGAAGAGAAGACTCGGGGATGCAAAGTTTGTTAGCTCTCATGAGATATCCATCTTTGATGTAATAGCGTTCCCAAGATGTATGCGATAAATACTTGGCATAAGGAGTAGCAAAAGTTGCATCATGCTCATACAAGGCTTTGATATGCTCGAAGCCAATGACATCTAACTCAAGTTGTGTAACAAGCATGCATATGCGGGAAAGAGCATCCGCTACAATGTTTTCTTTACCCTTGATGTACTTGATGACATAAGGAAAAGACTCAATAAATTCACTCCATTTAGCATGACGCTTGTTCAACTTGTTTTGTCCCTTAAGATACTTGAGAGTCTCATCATCAGTATGAATGATAAACTCATGGGGACGAAGGAATGTTCCCATTCATGCAAGACTCACACTAAAGCATATAGCTCTTTGTCATAAATGGGATAATTGAGTTGCGCTCCGGAAAGTTTCTCACTAAAATAAGCTATGGGGCGCTTCTCTTGCACACACCTCCTATGCCATTACCACTAGCATCGCAATGAATCTCAAAGGCTTGTCGAAGTTGGGTAAAGCAATCACGGGAGCATGAGTAAGCAAATTTTTAAGCTCATTGAATATGGTATCTTGGGATGGTCCCCAAACAAAAGGCGCATTATTCTTGCTCAAAGCATGCAAAGGCGAAGCAATGGTGCTAAAATCCTTCACAAAGCGACGATAGAAACCCGCAAGGCCAAGAAAACTACGCACTTGATGCAAGTTGGTTGGTTGTGGCCAAGTTTTAATAGCATTGATCTTGGACTCATCAACATGAACACCCTTAGAGGAAACAACAAAACCTAAGAAAACGAGCTTATCAACACCAAAAAGGCATTTCTCCATATTAGCATAGAGGCGCTCTTTTCTAAGAGTTTGCAAAACGGTGTGGACATGGGTGACATGCTCTTTGATAGATTTGCTAAACACAAGAATGTCATCGAAGTAAACCACAACAAATATACCAATGTAAGGGCGAAAGACATGATTCATAAGGCGCATAAAAGTGCCCGGTGCCTCCGAGAGACCCATAGGCATGACTAACCACTCATACAAACCAAACTTGGTTTTGAAGGCGGTTTTCCATTCATCACCCTCTTGTATGCGGATTTGATAGTAACCACTCTTAAGATCAATTTTGGAAAAGATAGTGGCACCACTAAGCTCATCAAGCATATCATTGAAGGAAATATGCCCTAGAGGCAATAATAAAGTTATTATTTATTTCCTTATTTCATGATAAATGTTTATTATTCATGCTAGAATTGTATTAACCGAAAACATAATACATGTGTGAATACATAGACAAACAGAGTGTCACTAGTATGCCTCTACTTGACTAGCTCGTTAATCAAAGATGGTTATGTTTTCTAACCATGGACAAAGAGTTGTTATTTGATTAACGGGATCACATCATTAGGTGAATGATCTGATTGACATGACCCATTCCATTAGCTTAGCACCCGATCGTTTAGTATGTTGCTATTGCTTTCTTCATGACTTATACATGTTCCTATGACTATGAGATTATGCAACTCCCGTTTGCCGGAGGAACACTTTGTGTGCTACCAAACGTCACAACGTAAATGGG